AAAGAAAAGGCATTGCATGTCTTTTGTCAACAAACGTCGGAATCGATTATACGTTACACCTAAACAGAAACTCGTTCAGAGATTTCCACATAAACTAGAGCAAGGAGAGGATGATGGCCTCATGAATCTTCCGATTCCCCATGTCTTGACCATTTGACTTAATTCGCAACCCAATTTGACTTGGTGTGCGTTTTGCGTTTTCTTTCGTGTTAGACTTATTTCACATGTAGATGCTCTTACGGGATTAATTAAAAGTTACTTTTGGTTCAAAAATATTTACATCCATTATACCCTTCAAAATTTCCCCTCAATGTAAATCCATTGTCTCTACGTTATGGGAACCAATCCATATAAACCTTGTTAAAGTGTTGATGTAGTTGAGTATCCATTAATGTTCACGCAACCCATAAAAAATTTATGCTTTCGTGGTGTCGATGGATTTCACTAAATTGGTGTCAAAAGTTAAATGTGGTTCAAAGTTCGTTCTCCTGGTGGTTTTATCTGTTGTTAATTTGCTTGTGTGCTCTTCATGGGTCATGTCTTATAGAGTCTAATGCAATTAGTACCTTTGGAGACTCTTGCAGATTTCTGGTATCCCAAAAACTATCTCTTTTCACGTGTTTTAGCAAGACTGAAGATTTGCAGATTTCTATCACTGAAGTCAACGAGATGTCTAAACATATCTTTTATTAAATGTTGCGACTTTGTTTTCAATGCTTTGCCTCGATTAGTCGAATGTCATGTGAAAGTCCCAGAACTAGGCTAGTTAGTAGAATCAGCTGGATCTTTTTTCCTTTTATAAAATTTCCGCCTGTTAAAAAAAGTAAGAAAATAAAGATGGAAATAAAATACACATCGTTGTGTCTCCTTTTATATGTTAATATCAGTATTATTATATTACTAACATAAATTTAAAGTATTATTTACTACATTGTACTGTATATAATATACTAATGGGTAAAAAACGGAGGGGTGTTTTTTAGGCTCATTGTATTTGTATCCTCCTAGTTGTATACCATCGAGGGTGATCTTGTTTTCGTAGGTTTAATGAATATTGTAATTTGTTTCTTTCGTTCGGCCGAACATATATATTTTCAACAGGAGCACCATTGTGGTTTCATCACAAGTTCACAACACCAAGACAATCGCTTTTTAGGAAGAAAAAGATGGAACGCAAAACTATTTACGTTTGTGTTTTTGTAGGGATCCTCGGAATCGCAGCTGCCGTTGCTGGGTTTGCAGCCGAAGCCACAAGAGTTAAGGTAAACCATAGAGCCACACTTTACTTAATTAATTACAACTTACCAGTTGTTAACAAATATTTATTGATAAATCTTTTTATTTACTCCAAACATATGCATGTGAATCATGCAGAAATCTCAGGCTACGGTGGTTAACAATGGCATTGAGATCTATTGTGAGTACCCAAGTAGTCCAGCCATGGGGTTTTGCTATTGGGGCGACGGTGGCTCTTGTGCTTGCTCGTACAATCATCACATCAGCCGGCGGTGGATGTTGTTCATGTTGCCGGACAATCCCTGACTTAGCTAAACTTGCTCGAGTCTGTATTGTTATATCATGGTATATATGCAAATGGTTCATCAAGCTTCAAGATTCATTTTGATTTTGTTTTTTTGTTTTCCATTTTTATACAGGATTACATCTTCTGTAGCTGTTATCCTATTTATTGCGGGTGCGAAACTCAGCACTCAAAAAGAAGTGGCCATGGACGTCAATGGTGTGTTTCTATTGTGGCACGATAAGGCCTGGGATCTTCTCAGGGGCTGGTATCATGGGTCTCGTGGGTGTGCTTCTCTCTATAGTGTATTACCTCTTTTATGTGTCGGCTGTAAGCGGCTCAGTCAAGACATCAACGGTAGAGCTAGAGGCACCACCAATTACTGACGTCAAAAAACCGCCGGTATCATCCAATAAACCGCCGGTGGTATCCCGAAAGCATTAACAAACCAATAAAGATGCCTCGGTCCTTCCTATATCCCCTTGCATCTTGTTTTGTTTTCATTTAGAGAAGGTAATAAGAAATGGAAAATGTCATGCTACAAAATAGTTAATTTGTCCCTATTGTAGTGACAAGTTCTTTCGGTTATAAATATATTGTATTTATATATATAAAAATGTAATAACTTTTATGAGTAAAAAAATATTTTAGATGTTGCATTTTGGTTAAGTTTCCAATTACCTGTCTTTTGGGGTATATTTCATCTATGGGTGTGTGAACAACCATATAGTTGGGTCCAAACCAAGTGACAAGTCTAAGTAGAAGTCAAAATTGATCGACCCTAAACCTTACAAAGCTCCACAAATTCCTTCCCCATCTTTGTTCGTTGGACGTCTGATGCCTAGACACCGCATCAACACTGTGAAGCTGTGTCGCTCTCCACAGTCCATCGGTCATCAAAAACTCTAGAAATTGATGGTTTTTTTTATCTATTTTCTCATTAAACAGCCGAGAGGCTTAAATAGATACAAGAGGAAACAAAACTAACGGAAACAAATGAGAGGACAATGACTAAAATTACAGAGAATAAACATTCAAGGAAAATGAATATTCTATACTCCCCCTCAAGATGGAGCATGTAAGTTGATAATGCCCATCTTGCCAAGTAAGAACTTGAGGTGGTTAGTATGAAGTTCCTTCATCAACAAGTCAGCACTACCTCAATATACCTACTGAATCAACCCCGATGGTATTGAGCACTACCTCAGTGCTTCCCATGACCTGGTGCCCAACCTTGTCCCAACAAACCGGAGTCCTATACCTCTAACCATACAACATCTCGAATGGCGGTCGGTCGATACGGGCATGATAACTATTTTTGTTTGAAATTCTGCCAACGGGAGGTATGTGTCCCAACTCCCTTCAAAATCCAACACGCATGCTCTAAGCAAGTCCTCCAGTATATGGATCGTTCTCTCACTCTGGCCATCAGTTTGGGGGTGGTACGTCGTGCTAAAATGTATCTGAGTGCCCAGTTCCTCGTGTAACTTCTTCCAGAACCTAGATGTAAACCGTACATCCCTGTCAGAGACTACTGACATCGACACCCGGTGTCTAGCCACCACCTCTTGCACATAAATATCCACCAACTTCTCCGCATATATACTCTCAGAGATCGGGGATGAAGTGGGCACTCTTCGTCAGTCTGTCCACGATCACCCATATGGCGTCCACGCCCCTTGCCGTCCTCGGTAACTTCGTGATGAAGTCAATAGTGATCTCTTCCCATGTCCAAATGGGAATGGGTAGTAGCTGTACCTTGCCATGAGGCCGCTTAGCCTTGATCTTCTTGCAGGTCAAGCACCGCTCCACAAACCAGGAGATCTCCCGCTTCATGTAGGGCGACCAATAACTCAGTCTCAAGTCTTTATACATTTTTGTAGCCCCTAGATGTATAGAGAACTTGGACATGTGTGCCTCCTATAATATCCTCTGTTTCATCCCTCCAGAAACTGGTACCCACACTCGGCCACACTGTGTCAAAAGACCATGGCTATCCTTAACAAACAAAGGATAGTGTCCCCAAATCCACTCTATTTTCCAATTCTATCTCTTCACTCCCTCGACCCGGGCCTCCTTGATCATGTCTAACAATGGAGAGATCACCGTCAACCTCATACAAATGTTCCCAATTGGGGACCCCGCCGTCTTGTGATCAGTATAGATAGTGCACCGCACCCCATACAAATAGTGTCTCTAGATCTTGAGGGCGAACACCACTGCCTAGAATTCTAAGTCGTGAGTGGGGTAATTCGCCTCATGAGGCTTCAACTGCCTCGAGGTGTAAGCGATCACATGCCCCCTATGCATCAGTACCACGCCTAACCTTGACATTGATGGTTCACAGTACACCACCAAATCATCTAACCCCTTGGGTAGTACTAGGATCGGAGCCTCGCATAATCTCCGTCTCTGAGTCTCAAAAGCCAACTGTTGATCCGTGCCCCACCAAAAGGTCACATTCTTCTTGGTCAAGCAACTCAATGGCACAACAATCTTGGAGAAATCCTGAATAAATCTCCGATAATAGCCCACTAAACCCAAGAAGCTATGAATATCTGATGCATTCTTCGGTACTTCTATTAGGCGTGTCAAACCCAACAAATGATAGGGTACGATATACTCCAAAAGAATCCCACTATATTGCACTAAAAGGTAGCACTAGGCAAGTAGGATCGATCCAAAGAGACACATGATAATTAGTCTATAATTCTTTGTGCAAGGTGCTATGGTCACCAATAGTAAAAAAAAAAAGGGGGGGGGGGTTAGAGTGCAATGAATAAACAAACAAATTAAATGCTAAATGAGTGAATTAAATTCAGATTTTGTAAGGACTCCAACTTCATATATGACAACTTAGCAATGTGACTCAAAGATGATACAATATTCGTTCAGCTCTATCTAAGTTGGTACTTGAAAGTGTTAATAAGCTCTAACACTTTCCATTCACCACATTAATTAACCAAAACAAGCTCCTTCATTAACCCTAACCTTACTAACCTAATCTAAACAAGCTCTTAGAATTAGATTAAAAGATTGTATGAAGCTTTATGTGAATGTTCCCAACAACACCCAATAATCCTCACAAGATCGGGAGTGTAAAAGTGTATAAATAAGATTTACACTAAATTCATTAAATAGAGATTAATTAATGCTTGTTTACTTGTTCAATTTCACAAAACAATTACGGATTTTGTAAAAGAGATAACTTGAATGACCTAACCCTAATTCAAATGGCCAATAAGAATCATAATTAGAATCAAACATTCGATTGTAGCAAAATCAAATTCATTAGATAGAAATTGAAAACAAACATCATGTCATATGATTGAAGTCACTACCAAGAAGTCAAAACATGAAACTGGAGAAACTAGGGTTCTAGCCACACATGGCTAGAACAAGACCACAAGTCTAAAAGATGAAAGTAATGTGAAATTACAATTTACAAATACAAGAAATAATGTTTCCAAATGATTACTGATCAAACCCTTGCAAAAACCTTTGAAACCCCCTCACCAAATGTGCTCTGATATCTTGTGTCTGTGTAAAAATGGCCCTTAAACCGTAATATGAAAGATAGGAAAAACTGCCAAAAGTTGGTTTCTGGGTTGAACACGGCCCGTGTTGGACATAGAGTAAAAATGACACGGTCCGTGTTCAGCATGGTCAATAGCTCCGATTTTGGTTAACACGACCCGTGTTGATTTTGCAGTGTAAATCCAACACGGCCCATGTACCCCTTTAACTCCGAATCCAAACTTGATTTTTCCAACTTTTTCGTTCTTCGCCCGATCATCCCGAAATCTTCACCAATGCTTCCCGACACCTCCCAAAGCGCGTTCCAACCTTCGGTTTACCTGAAAAAGACATGAAAATGCGCAAATAAGGTTGTTCTAGAGACTAACATGAAATATGATGAAATGCAAGACAAATAAAGGACAATTATGCTAAATAGATGCATGAAGTGGGACTAAAAGGTGTGAAAAAAGGTGCACAAATTGCACCTAGAAAATCTCCCCAAACTTAGACCTTTCTTGTCCCCAAGAAAGAACAAGAATCGGACAAAACAGGACGATTTCTAGATGGCAAAAAGAAACATAGAGCAAAAAGGGATAGAAAGATCCTAAAGGCTAGGAATGAATGCATGCAATGAAAAACCAAGAAAAAGAAAAAAAAAATATGTACAAAAGCACTAAAGAAGAAAAATGTACCCAAAAGGAAGTTTAAGACACAAGTAAATCATCTATATAAGTACGATCAGGCTTTACATCAATATGGCTCCAATCATTAATACCTAGGCAACCATCTTGCTTCCTTCCACATATCACAGACTCTCAAAGTGAGGAAGACCCGAAACGATGTAACCCAATAACCCAACCATAGTTTTATTTAAACTTCATACCTTAATTATCTTTATAGGCGAAAATAACAGAGTCCAGATCTCATGTCCTTAAGACTAGATGGTCAAGAATCAGTATCGACGCATCCATAAGAACCTGTCACAGCGAATCAGCTTTCGCTGAAACATTGAGCCCACCCAAATCGGCCCAACTCCTATGCTTTCACTTTTTCGAGAACCACAAGTATCATATCACACAGTTCTTCATTCACCAGATTTGACTTTGAGGCGACTTTTGATTTTTGATTGACTTGGATTTGTATCTTTGTTTTGAGCTTTGAATTCTTTAACCAACTTTTGAATTTATGAAAGTTTCTTTGATTAAGTGCATCTCTTTTTTTTTATTATTTATTTATTTATTTATTTATTTTGGGTACTGGATATGACAGTTGTACCCATTCTTCTTTCTTGACTGTGTGGATCTGATACTTAAGCTCTCTGTTACCGCGAGGGTAACGCGTGTCAACAAATAGGTCCGTGTTTTATGGGTCTAGAGTTGCCGATAAAGATTCTTTTTAAACATTCAGAAGCAAATCATCCTAAATTTGTTATTACCGCCCACAAAAACATTTCAGTATGCTATTTTTTTATTATTATCTAAGGCTGGGGTTTCGAATCACGGTGTTTAGGTACCCTAGTTATGATAGCCGATTCTACGCTTCCGGTAACTATCCGGTCACTTCAGTAATTTTTTTTTCATTTGAGTTCTTGATTTCCCACTTTCATGAAGCCATTGCATGTAAAGAATGTCATCATCTCGTACTCCATTTTTTTATTTTTGATTTTTTTGAATGATGATGATGGTGCATGGAAATGATAAAATGCAAAAACTTGAAATAAGAACTCTTTTTTTTTTCTCTCGTTTTTTTAAGGAAAGGTATGCATGAGTATGAAATGCACCTAATGTACAATTCTACCCCTCCCCAAGCTTAAAGATAAGCATCGTCCTCGATGCTTGGAGAGGACGAAACAACCTATTGCGGAGGAGGAGGATAAGGATAGTAATCAGAGTTTTGGGTCTAAGCCTAAAAGTCCTCATCATGTTTACGCTGGCGCTCTTGATCCCAAGTGTATTGAGTGGTGAAAGAAGAGAAACTTTGAGTCAGGCTTGCGAGATCTTGATTGTAAGTGTCGAGGCGGGTATGGATTGATTGGAATTGATCCATATATTGCTAGTGATAGGATAAGTGTCTAGCCTGATGGGATGAGTTGGCACTACCCCTGTGAGGAGAATTTTGTGGGTCCGCCCTGCCACTCTCGGCACTCTCTCCATCTTCCTCTTCTTCCTCTTCGGAAAAGCATTCGGGGAAGAGATACAGTGTGATTTTCCGGTCGGTGAAATTGTTGGGTCTCCTGAGGGAAAGGATACCCGATTTTCTGGGGTGATGAGGAGTCGTGGATCGTGGTTTTGACCCACGGTCCAATTATGGTTCCAGTCCTCCACCCGAAACATTCTCATTGACTCAATGATTCCCGTGATAAGGTAGGTCTCACCGGGAAGAGATTGATGAATTCCGGGGTATGGGGCCCGAAATGGAGCGCTTTTGGCAAATAAACTGACAATGTCACCACAAGATATTTTGCCGGACCATGATGTGCTAAGGCAGCTGAGTTTGTTACACAGGAATGAGCCATAGTGAGGAATGAGATTATCGTCCGACTGGGCCATATCATAGAGTATTTTGAGCTCAAGGGCGCTAATGATGCTTCTTTCTTCTCTAGGGATGACAAGTGAAGCAATAATCCTGTGGGCCACTTTCATCACAGGGTGGATGAGAGATGAGGCTTTAGCAAAACTTGAGACATAGGGAAGCTGACACATAAGATCGGTTCACCACGTAAGATCGCTGTATCCTGGGATTGGATTATTGGGGCCAAAGGTGTGTTCTGTGGGAGCCCCAAATATGGAATTGATTTGGTCTAGGGACAAGGCATGATCTTGGTTCATAAGCCGAAAACGAAGGACACTGTGGTCCAAATAGACTGAAGACAAAAACTCGGATGTTGGAACTTTGTAGCTGAGCTCGTGGACCCTTAATAACCCTTGCCATCCAATGTTCCGGAACAAGGTGTAGACTTGGTTGTAGATGTGAAACTCGCGGAAAGATGAAACATGTGCAAATTATTGGGTAGTATGAGCGCGTTGGAGAAAGGCCTCAAGTTTGGCAGCTTGAATAGGGCCAAGACAAACCACACCACCATGGGCCGGATTGGGTGGGGATTAATGCGGGGGGTGATGGGGACCTAGATGGCGGTGATGAGTTTCTACGACGACGGGCCAAGGTCTTAGTATGCCTCGGTCGTTTAGAATGTTCACCCTCTATATGCAAAAGATGGGGCAAAGATGAAAAGTCAACCGGTTAACGGGTCAAAAAGTCAACTATTAACGGGTCATGTCAACTGAAGTTTTGCCACCAAAAATTCGCAGGAAAATCAGTTTTGAATGATTTCCAAGTTATTGTGAAGTCCAAAATGACCACAGATACATGCAATTTGACCTAAAGATCACAAATTCCACAAGTGAAGAATGGGAAAGAATGTACCGAATCGTTAGTGGAAATATGTTGTAGTTGGTGAGAAAGACCTTCTTCAACCTCCCCAAGCTTGCCTACATGAAGAAATAAGCACAAAACACCAAAATTCTAAGAAATTTTCGGATCTAGGGTTTTTCAAAACCCCTAAATCCACCATGAAAATGCAATAAAGTGGTGTATTAGATGTAGGAGATGAAGTGGGGAAGATGAAAATCAATCCTTTTTGAAGTTTTAAGCCAAAATCGTGAAGAATCAAAGGATTTTTGATGAAAATCGGACCTTGGGGTTTTCTTGGGGGAAAGGGGATGTTTTGGAATGAGTGTGTGGAAGAATGGGGCAAAAACCTGATTTTTAGCATTAAAAACCACCGAGTCTGATGCGCGGACATGACCCATGTTGGGCATAAGGGAAAATTGACACGGCACGTGTTGTGCATAAAATGTGCGGGATTTGGGTGAAAACGGCCCGTGTTGGTCATAAAGGAAAAATGACATGGGTCTTGTACCCCTCTGACTCCGGGGTTGTTTGCCATTGATGAACAGGAACAGTGTTCATTGTAAGGCAAGAGGAACACGGGCCGTGTACCCCTCTTATTGCTACTTCCACGTTTTGAACCCAAAATTTTCCTCTCATTCAAATGAAATGCTTTTGCATCCCAAGGTCCGTTTGGTGACTTTAAATCATGTTTAAATGCATTTGGAACATAAAAAAAAAAATAAAAACTCAAAAAAATGAAAATTGTTGTTAAAGAAAAAGACAAAAATACCCCCGGTAAGTTGCCCTTGTTTTAAGTCATTGGCTCGACTTTGCCCCCGAATATATTTTAGTCTTGGTATGTAGGGTTCCCAACAACTTCTATCTCATCATTCTTCACCTCGAATCCTTCGTAGAACGGCTTCAATCTGTGACCATTGACTTTGAATGTTTTTCAAGTTTGTTGGCTTGTGATTTCCACCGCACTATAGTCGAATACCTTTGTGACTACGAAAGGACCAACCCATCTTGATCTTAATTTCCCTGAAATCAACTTGAACCTCGAGTGATAAAGAAGCACTTTTTTTCCTTGTGCAAAAGTCTTCCGGGAGATAATTTTGTCATGATACACCTTTGTCTTTTCTTTGTAGATCATGTTACTTTCATATACATCATTTCTGATCTCCTCTAGCTCTTGGATGTCTAGATTCCTTTTGTGTCCTTCCTCCTCTTCATTCAAGTTGAACTTCTTAATGGACCAAAAAGCTTTGTGCTAGAGCTCAACTGGTAGATGACATGCTTTTCCAAATACCAGCCTATATGGGGACATACCAATGGGTGCTTTGAAAGCAGTACCGTATGCCCATAAGGGATCATCCAACCTTTTTCTCCAGTCCTTGCGATTCAGATTGGCTGTTTTCTCCAAAATGCTTTTAATTTGCCTATTGGAGACCTCTGCTTGCCCATTGGTTTGGGGGTGATAGGCTGCTGAGACTTTATGAGTCACCCCATACTTCTTCAGGACAACTTCAAACATCCGATTGCAAAAGTGAGTACCACGGTCACTTATGAGAGCCTTTGGAGTGCCAAACCAGGAGAAAATCTATGCTTTAAGAAAATCCACCACAACTTTGGAATCATTAGTACGGGTGGCTTTGGCCTCCACCCATTTTGATACATAGTCCACTGCCAACAAAATGTATGAACAACCAAAAGTGGGCAGAAATGGTCCCATAAAGTCAATACCCCATACATCAAAGATCTCTCATACTAAAATGGGGGTAAGGGGCATTTGATTCGTAGAGCTTAAGGACCCGGATCTTTGGCAGTTATCACAATGTGCACAAAACACATAGGAATCGTGAAAAATGGAAGGCCAAAAAAATCCGCTATCTAAGACTTTTCTAGCTGTACTTTAAGGTCCAAAGTGACCTCCACAAGCATATGAATGACAAAAATCAAGGATGGATTGTACCTCTTGTTTCTCAACACACCTTCAGATCATTTTGTCTACACAATACTTCCAAAGGTAAGGCTCATCCCATATGTATCGCTTGGCTTCCTTCTTGATTTTATCCTTTTGCCAACGTGTGGAATCCATGGGAAGTTGATTCATGACCATGTAGTTGACTGTATCTGCATACCATGGTGCTTCTTTGGCCATAAATAAATGCTCATCTGGGAATGTGTATCAGATTGTTGTTGTGTCTTGGGGTGGCACAATACGGCTGAGATGATCCGCGACCAAGTTTTCTTTCCCACTTTTATCTTTGATTTCTATATTGAACTCTTGCAGTAGCAACATCCACCGTATTAACCTTGGCTTTGAATCTTTCTTGAGTAATAAGTGCTTCAAAGCTGCATGGTCCCAATAGATAATCACTTTGGTCCCAAGGAGGTATTGTCGGAACTTTTCTAATGCGAAAACAATGGCTAGCATCTCATTTTCGGTTGTCGTGTAATTGGCTTGTGCATTATCCAAAGTCTTGGATGCATAGTAGATGACATGGTGAGCTCGGTCCACCTTTTGTCCCAAAACTGCCCCAACCGCGGTGTTACTAGCATCGCACATGATCTCGAATGAGAGATCCCAATTTGGCGGTTGGATGATGGGGGCAGATGTCAACAAATCCTTCAAACGATTAAATGCACTTCTACATGCATTACCAAACTCAAAATCAACCTCCTTTTGTAGAAGTTGACACATCGGCACCATGATCTTGGAAAAATCCTTTATAAACCGCCGATAGAAACCTGAATGGCCAAGAAAAGAACACACTTCCCGAACTTTTGACGGGTATGGTAAGCTCTCAATAACATCTATTTTGTCCTTGTTAACTTCTAAACCTTTTTGTGACACCGCATGTCCAAGTATCAAGTCCTTGTCAACCATAAAATGACATTTTTCATAATTAAGGACTAAGTTCGTGTCAATGCACCTTTGTAAGATTTTGGTGAGATTTTGCAAACATTCATTAAAAGAATTTCCATAAACAGTAAAATCGTCCATGAAAACCTCTATGATATTTATGACATATTCTGAAAATATGCTCACCATACATCTTTGGAAGGTCGTGGGTGCATTGCACAAGCCGAAGGGCATGTGTCTATACGCAAAGGTGCCGAAGGGACATGTGAATGTGGTTTTCTCTTGGTCTTCTGGGGCAACCAAAATTCGGTGAAAACCAGAAAAACCATCAAGGAAGCAATAGTGAGATTTCCTGGCCAATCGTTCTAACATCTGATCAATGAATAGCAAAGGGAAGTGGTCTTGCGGGTGTAAGCATTCAACTTCCTATAATCGATACAAACCCTCCACCCGTTTTGCACACGGGTGGGTACCAATTCTACTTCGGAGTTTTTGACTACGGTGACTCCGACTTTTTTCTGGACAACTTGTACGAGACTTACCCACTTACTATCAGAAATGGAGTAGATTACACCTGCATTCCATAGCTTCATGATCTCTTTTCTAACCACCTCCATCATAGGTGGATTCAATCTCCTTTGGGCTTCACGGATTGACTTAAAGTCTTCTTCCATTAATATCTTATGCATGCATAATCACGGACTCAGCCCCTTTATGTCTACAATGGTTGAGCCAATAGCCTGCTTGTACTTTTTCAAAATTTCAACCAACTCTTTTTCTTCTTCTTTTGCTAGCTTGGTTGAAATTATCACCGATAATGTCTCTTCCTCTCCGAGATAGGCATACTTGAGATGGTCGGGAAGAGTTTTCAACTCAAGACTCGGTGGGTGTACTATGAATGGAAGGAGTTTTGGATTGGAGTTCTTGAGCTTCATGCGGGGTGGCTCAACACTCCTAGGTTGTGCTTTGTCCAAGGAGTTGATTGCTTCCATCAACTCATCCTCCAAGGTATACTTATCAGCCAGATTCTTGATCCCTGTTTCATCAAAATACTTGCTCAAGATGGTGGTTAGCACATCTTGGCTTGACAGCTCGAAACAATCATTAGTACATGAATCAATAACATTTATGAAGTTTAAAGAATGAATATCACTAGGATAACACATTGCTTCAAAGATATTAAAGTTGATCACCTCACCATCGAACTCCATAGACAAAGTACCATTTGCTACGTCTATTTTTGTTTTTGTGGTACTCATGAAGGGTCTCCCCAAAATGATGGAGCTCGATTGTGGGGTTTTGTCATCACCCATATCCAAAACATAAAAGTCAGCAGGAAATACAAGTTCATTGACTTGCACTAACACGTCCTCCAATACACCTTTTGGGTGTACCAAAGACCGGTCGACAAGTTGAATAGTAACTCCGGGTTTTGATAAAGGTCCA